TTTTTCGCAAGACAGCGATTTTAACAGCTGATCGGTGCTTCGCAAAACGGTTTCTCTATGGGCAATTTTTGCAAAAGATTATTTGTCCCCATTGGAACGCATTAAACGGATTTCAGTTCATTCCAGTGGGGAACCGCATTTTGCAAGACGATGTTTTCACAAGACAGTGATTTTTGCTGAATGAATTAACATCGTCTTGCGAGGCACCACTGTATTTTCTCACACAAAGGATTACACCTTTTGCTATAGTGTTCTTGAGTACATGGAAACATGAGAAATGCAAGAGGATCTGTGTTAAGAGAGGTTAACTATTCTGCATCTTTTTACAGAAGTATTTGTGAGAAAACTCTAGCAGATATTTTCCTTCAAGTTCATTTTTCATTGGACCCAGGCCTTTGCATTCAACAACTGAAATGTTGCCAGTGTGGTACACATAGGCTTTGTAGAGTTTTTAGGTTTTTAACAAATCTAGTCAGTTATAATGCTTGATTCATAAATTACTATAAAATAGTATTCAGTGTAATGTAATGCAATAAAAATACGCATCAGTAGGTGAGATCAGCAACCAAGAACTGCTCTAAGAGAGGCTTGGTTAGAGCAGTTCTTAATGGTTCCAAATGAGGTTTTTAAAATATTTCTATAGATTTACTGCTCCCTCCTTTAACTAATCATAAGTCTTAATGTATCTAGTTTGCATCACTGAAAATATGACTGGAAACAGTTCAGTGAATTGATACAAAGTATATAGAAGCACTCGCATCCCTGAACATACACAAATGAATCCTAGGGTATACTTAGTCTATTCATGTATTGGCTGACTGTACTGCATGGGGTGACGGAAGATAGTAATTAAAAAGTAGATAAGCTGAACCTGCCATTTTATTAAGCTCTGCTGTAATAGGTCCGTGTGAACAAGATGTTAGGATAAAGAGAAAGCAGCCAGCTGATAGTAACTAGCCAAATGTGCCCTGCAGGAAGCTCCCTTGTTGTGTGTTTCTGATAAGCCCATCCCATTGTGGCTCAGAACAAATCCTAGAAGGATGTGATATGCTTCAGGGAAGTACTTTCATACTTTCAAGGTAGGGGAGCTGTTTTAAAGGTTAAACTGTCAAGGATACATGGAGAGGTTTCTTGTTAGCAGAACATTGGCTTGAAAAGGTATCATATTTCACTAACTTCAGTGTTCCAGGTCGGTGGAGCTGTTTTAGATTTTGCAGCTGAGAGACCATCTAGTTTCATTAACAGGTTGCTGTTAACAATAGACAAGTTGACTGCTTAATGAGAATGAGTGTTGACTTTTAATCAATACAGTTAAGGCATATGTATTTTCCTAACAGGCAATGGAACATGCTAATGGAATGGAGCTGGATGGCAGGAGGATCCGGGTAGATTACTCTATCACAAAGAGAGCACACACGCCCACCCCTGGCATTTACATGGGCAGGCCAACCCAGTAAGTAATTCAGTGCCATCATTTTGAGAATTCTTATCTTACGATTCATTTAAAAGTTCATCTAAAAGAGTTCTGTTTCTGTGAGTATCTCTTAATTTAATCACTATGTTTTTTTTCAACCTATTGTTTCTGAAAGCCAGTTAATCAACGGTCTTTAAATATGTGTGCATGGTCCAGTGGGATGGTCTGAGAGTATTCAATTCTGTTTTAAATAATTTCTAAAGTTAAGTTAGTGAAGATTTCATCAGTCCCCTGAGTGAGAGACCACACAAGATATGTGAGCTGTCATAAACCTTCAGACAAAATCCTGAACATCTGCTTAATGTATCTCCTCTTCTTCCCCACTCAAAGTAGCGGAGGCGGAGGTGGAGGTGGAGGTGCTGGCCGTCGCCGTGATTCCTATTATGACAGGGGATATGATAGAGGATATGATAGATACGAAGAATATGATTACCGTTACAGGTACACCCTCTGATTTAAATGATATATTTATAGTAAAAAATCCCCATAAAGTTAATTGTCTATAATGATAACTGTTTCATAGATTTCAGGATTTCTCTGTTCATTATAGTATGCTTGTACCAAACACAGTGTTTTCATCTGTATGATTGCTTGCCTCTTTCTAGCATTTATAGCCCAATTTTTAATTTGCACAACATTGTCAAAACAGGTATTGACAAAATAGCACTTTAAAATAAATGCAACAACATTATAAAAGCGGCCAAGAGAAATGGCCAAGTAAAACGGTTTAGGGCCTCGATACTTGGTGGAACACCTACTCCCACCAAGTTCTACCCATGTCACTCGTGCGAGTCGGGAGGTGAGGCTGAGGAGCCTGATGCCAAGGGAGGCCCAGAAGAAAAAAACTAGATACATGGCCTTCTCAGCAGTGGCTCCTCGCCTCTGGAACAACCTACCTCCGGAGATTCACGTGACCCTCTCGCTGGGTACCTTTAAAAACCAACTAAAAACATGGATGTTTCGGCAGGCCTTCCCCCCAGTTAACCCCTGATGTCTTCCTTCCCTTTCTTCCCCTACTGTTTGTTTTCCATCTTGTTGAATTTGTCTATTGTTCATTATGTTAATAATTTTATATTCAATTGTGTATTTTATGTGCATTTTATTTACGTTGTAAGCCGCCTAGAGTGGTCATCTGACTAGATAGGCGAGATATAAATTAAATAAATAAATAAATAAATAAACTGAAAACAAGATGCAGTATAAAAATACAATTGCATATTAAGGAGTCATTTAAAGATAGTCAATATGAATACTTTCCTGAATTTAACATACACTGTACTGTAGCTTATCATAATCATAGGAGCATTTTTATATTTGTGTCATGTATGGAGTATATATCTGTGTCATGTATGGAGTGTGTGTGTGTGGACGGACGGATGGACAGACGGACGTGGAGGAGAAATGACAAAAAATGGTGTACCTTGTAGATCAGTAGTAGTTCCCAACTCTGTGTCCCCAGATGCAATTGAACTGCAACTCCCAAAAATTCTGGCCCGCACATATAGTGGTGAAAGCTTCTGAGAGATTTAGTCGAAGAGCAGCTGGGGACCTAAGATTGGAAACCACTGTTTTAGATAAACTAGATTTTATATTGGATGTTAAAATATGGATCCCATATCAAAAGTGCTCGAATACTATAAAGATAAAATAGCATGTCCCCTGAGCACATGACTTCCAAATCCACTTTCTTTATGTTCTGTCATAGCTAAAAGTACCATTTTACCAGAAGGTATATCATACAGTAACAGCAACTATATGTTGGAAGGATACTGTGGAGAGAAGAGAGAAATATGTTGAATGTGCTTAAAGAGATATGAAGAGCAGTGCTCACTTTATTAAGTTAATTACTCTTTATAGAAGCAGTACTTCTGCATTAGCTTGTGGAAGGACAAGGGGGTTGGGGAGACAGCTTGACTTCCCATGGGAGGGATTTCCACACTTTATGATTAATTAACATATAGCACACATATTCTATAAGGACTATCTAGAAAGTATATAAAAATAGTTATTAAAAGCCACTGCCAACAAAACTACAGCGTTTTTTCTTTTCCATAGGCGACGATCACCTTCACCATACTATAGTCGTTATAGATCGCGGTCAAGATCTCGTTCCTACAGTCCAAGTAAGTACAAGTAAAACTTATTCTAGTGAAGCAGAAGGGGAGTGCAGATAGAATGCATCAATACTGATTTGGAGGGAGGAAGTATGAACACACACAAGTATATAGAAGTATGAACTAATGGCTATAATGTTTTCTCTTCCTTCTTTTAGGGCGCTACTGAAGAACAGAAGCTAGTTACAGTTGCAAATACAGTTTTTAAACAGCAAGATCTGACTTTACCTTTTCCTATAGACCCCCTGCAGATAATCCTAAACTGTAGTAAAATATATTTGGTTCATTTAGAATATGTTTTCTCAGTTGAAATACAAAATTTCCATCTTTTATTGTAATATTCCAGGTGTAATTGTTGTAGTTTTGTGTACTTCAATATCTTTAAGCAAAATTTAAATAGAAATCCAAAAGCAGTAAACATTTTGTACCCACCTTTTATTTTTTAAGCAAGTGGTGGTTTTCGTTGAACCTAATTTGAGAAATGAAGAAGGTTTGCATGTTAATTTTCAGTAGAAAACTTCTGTTTTAATAACCTGCTTATTCTTACGTCTGTTACTTGAGGGAAGAGGATATCCAGTATGTTTGGTTACAGCACAGTTAATTCAATATAAACCCCTAAGCCAGACTGTTCATTAGTTTTAATGTCATATTTAACAATACTGGAAATAATTCTTTGGAGAAAGACCAGAATCCTACACTGTATAAATTCCATCTTGATATGTGTTGGATAATGTAATCTTAGTGTTAATGTGGATGACTTTTCAAATTTGGTTAAAATATTAAAGTGACTTTTGAAGATTGTTCTTCATATGTTTGTTGCCCCATAATCAGGACAAGCTTAAAATACAAAATACAGAAAATATTTTTTTCACAGCAATTCCACATGGTGTTGAAATTGTGGTGAAACAGATTGTATTTGGCAGTATGAATTGGAAAAACTATTATTACTTCTCAAATAAATTTAAATTGTACCAATATAGCCTATCAGTATTTAATATGCATAATTAGCTAGATTTGTTATATATTGTCAAGGACTTCATGCTAAATTCAGTTGTTAATCCCAGTAGAGTGGACAATGAATCAGTGGGAGTTTGGTGGGTGAACATCTATGTGCATTCTGTTGTTTGAATAGAGTCCCATTCATTTGTTGCTGACCCAGTTATAATCAACATGATTAGAAAGGAGTAGTTAGCCCCTCCCCTTTCCATAGCTTTTTTCTCCCATGTGAGCAGTGAGGTGGCTGAAAAGGATGAACCATTTCTGTGTTGGCTCTTCAAACAAATAAGCACTCTGGAAAATCTGAGCAGACAGGGCGGTGCTCACGTTTGGAGCATACACCTGAATAAGAGTTTCTCTTCAAGTAATGGCAGAGGGAAGGGCTAGTTGCTTTACCTTTAAGCAACAGAGATAACTACTAAATGGGGCTTAGGGCTGCTGTAGTCAAGAATAACATTTGAATTTAGGATTTAATGTTTTAGTATATTTTTAATTTTTCAGTTCATAGGTAATGTGTACAATAAAAACTGTAGGGTTGCTTGAAGTGCTTAAAGCAAACTGCTTGCTGTGTTGCTCCACTTTTCAGTCTTAGAGAAATATCTGCATGCCACCATGAAATCTTAAATACTGTGGCACTTAAACCTTTGCATGTGGAGATCAGCTGGAACAGAACCTCTGATGGCATGATGCAAGGAGAAGCAGGGCAAATGTGAGTCCCAACAGATGGAAGCAAACCTTGAACATGTGAAAGTTTGGGAGTGAGGCAGGCAGGCAGGCACTTCTGAAACTCAGCGAAATATCTGCATGCCACCATGAAATCTTAAATACTGTGGCACTTAAACCTTTGCATGTGGAGATCAGCTGGAACAGAACCTCTGATGGCATGATGCAAGGAGAAGCAGGGCAAATGTGAGTCCCAACAGATGGAAGCAAACCTTGAACATGTGAAAGTTTGGGAGTGAGGCAGGCAGGCAGGCACTTCTGAAACTCAGCAGAATCAGCGGTGAACATGTGAAAGTTTGGGAGTCAGGCAGGCAGGCACTTCTGAAACTCAGCAGAATCAGCGTCAGCTGAAGGTTATGCTTGTGCTTGTGTAGTATTCTGATGCAGCTATCGGAGACACCCAGCACAGAGTAGCATGTAGACATCAGCTGAAGGTTGTGCTTGTGTAGTATGCTGATGCAGCTATCAGAGACACCCAGCACAGAGTAGCATGTAGACAGAGCCCTTAGGATTCCAGGACTAGGAGTTAGACTGAAGGGAAGCAGTGACCACCAGAGTGGGAATGAATGGGCCCTTTTGTGCCTGTTTCATGAAAAGCAGTGCTTCCCTTCACCTTACCGACAGAATGTAGGGAAAACTGAGTATTTAAAAACACTTCATTTCTCTTTCCTAATTGGCTTTCATGGGCCTGAACATCAGTCTGTGATAATGGGTGGTCTGCAGTATTGGATACCTGTTGCTGACTTCATTATACTTATTTATTTATTTATTGCTTGCCAGATTTCGGTGTGAGAGTTCATTATGACTTGAGTTCTACCCACCATATTATTTTAAGTAATGAAAGAAACAAAACAGGGAGTGTATAATTATTCAGAATTCAAACAAGAATGTGTGTGCTGTCTAAAATCCTTCCATTACAAGGCATACATAAATCAAAAGTTTAACCTGAATGCCAATATGATACATTCCTGTATAATCAAATGTCTACTTGTGGTTTTTGGAGATCGTAAAAGCTGTAATCTGAGATACTTTAAGATTTCCATATTGGGAGAAATTTGGCTGAACAATATAGTATCATAGAGTAATTGAGTTGGATGGGGCATATAAGGCCATTGAGCCAAACCCCCTCTTCTGTAAGTTTTTTTAAGAATTGTAAAATTCATGCCATAGAGAGATTGCACAATAACCTCTTACAGTCCCTCCACACCATGGATGAGCTTTCTGAGAATTGGGAATATTGCATGTTTGTTTTGAAAGTGTAAGTTGCATTATTTACATCACAAATTATAGAAGTTAACAGCTGTCATGTCTCTTCCCTCAGTAATGTGGGACTTTTTCTACCCTCCCCCACCATATATGCATATATATGAATTCAAATGGTCTTTCAAATTTTAAGTTGCATTTATATATCTTCAGTGAACTCAAAGCAATATAGGTGTATCACCTTGTCCTTTATCCTCAAAACAACCTTGTGAAGTAGTTTAGGGTGAGAGTGCATGAGCAACACATGGTCACCTAGTTTTCTTACCAAGTGGGAATTTGAATTAGTCCAGTAATGGCTTACTGGCTACATGGTTATCTATAGATTACTTGATACCCAAACTGCCTGGAACCAACATGCATGTCCTGAGTTATATGAAGGCACACTTCACAGATGTATTACCACAAAATAGCTTCCATTTTATAATAATTGAAAAGGGAAAGGGGTTGCAATGGTTTCCACCATTTGAGCTTGGTCCTGTGTTAGTTTAATTTTTAATAAGCGCATTCAAGGTAATCTATATAAGGATTCACAACAAAACAAAAATTAGTCATAAGGCTGAGAGTAAGCTATGTTACCTGGTGTTTCTGCACTGTGATTGTAGAGACAATATCATGGTTTTTCATTTTTTGGTGTTTTCTGTTAAGGGGCTGGTGTGCGGTCTTGAGTTTTCCAGATATGAAAATTATTATGTTCAAAGCACCTTCTAGGAACATTGGAAATCATATTTATTTCTACATTATTATAGGTACTGTAAAAAATGTAGAGAAATAGTCATCCTTAGACTACACTCATTAAAATCAATGGGGAAAATTAGTTATGGCCCTGGATCCAGTCTGGGGCTTTTCCACCCTTACAGTGGTTCACAGAAAGGAGCTCTGTTTTTCTTGTGTACAAAGGAATTGTACCAGGAACAGCTGTTATCCATTTTTCACATGATTCTGATAAATGCTTTCCTATTTCTCTCACTCCTGGATTTCCCATCTTATTGATGAAGTCAATCAAGATATAACAGTTGTTTTCTTACTATAGTTGTAGTAAATCCAACACTGTTTCAAAGGAAACTGCAGTATAATCCAGAAATTCTTAATTTATAGTTTGCTCTATGCTGGGAAAATTTTAGGTGAGATGCTTGGATCAAAGTGCTTTTCAGTCACTAAGTAACTTACTGTAGTTGAAACACTTTGTGCTCATGTATGATCACATAGCTTATTTTTAGCCACTTAAGACATCAGATTTAAAGTTACAATATTCCAAAAAGCGGGTGTTAAATTAGTTATGTGTAGCTTAGGAAAATTCAATGATGTTTTCTGGCAGCACTGCAGATTTCAATATCTCTTACAGATAGCTAGGACAGGTCGAGATTAGTGTGAATGTTCACAATAGCTGAAATCCCATTGAATCAATGTAACCTACACAGGAGCTGACTCACCAAATACTGATTCAATGGGCCTACTCTAGTTGCAACTTGATACTGGATTTCAGCCAATTTATTTTTGAAGGGAAAGTAGCCATGGCTTCTCTGTGCAATTGCCCTTAGTGTAGCTGGAAACTTTGATTTGTACCAAATACTTCAAAGGTTTCCAATGAATTATGGAGGAGTTGGATCGTGTCAGTCACTGTTTCTTCTGCATATTTAGTATGAATACACAGAGTGAGGGAGATACTAGAGCATATGCCTGTATATGAGAAGGCACTTTCAGCTTTGTGCTGTACGTGCAAGACACTAGGAGAGAGCCATCTGGTTCTCACACACAGCACATTAGGGAACAGTTTGTAGAGGAATAAAGTCCTAATTTGTTCTATATATCACTTTCTCCACTCGTTTTGACTTCAACAAACTGCAGATTTTAGAGATTTTGATAGTGCTCAACCTTGTTTGATGAGTCTCAAGAATGTAAGTAGTGATGGTAGTAAGAGTACAACATCATTATTGAACCAAGTTACACTTCTGGGTTGGGACACAGGTGGTGCTGCAGGATAAAATGTAGAGTCACCAGGCTGTTGATCAAAAGATCACCAGATCTAATCTGCATGATCCGGTGAGCTCCCGTTGCTTGTCCCAGGTCCTGTAGTAGTTGGAAAGCATGCAAATAGATGAATAGGTGCCACCTTGGTGGGGTAACAGTATTCCTTGTCCAGTTATGCCAGCCACAGGACCATGGAAAGTGTCTTAAGGACAAATGCTGACTCTTCAGCTTATAAAGGGGGATGAGTACCAGTCCCTAGAGTCAGACACAATGACTTAATTGTCAAGGGGAACTTTTACCTTTAGCCTGGGTTATGCTGTATGTGTTTTCATTTCTGTGTTCTACACATCTTCATATTTTAAAGCTGATTTTTCCCCCATTACAAAGTGCAAACTGCTACTATTCCTCTTTGCTTTATATAGCAGTCTTGCATTACAGTATATCTGTGCCTGTCATTTTGTTGCAGCAACAGCTGAAAGGTAAAATTATTTTTCTTTCTTAGATATGCATTAGCAAACCTTCATCAGTTACCCTGGTACAATGAAGAGTGGGCATAGGAAGGGACCTTACATTGAATTAGACTGCTGGTCCATGAAAGTCGGTATTGTTTACATCAGTACAGCAGTTTTACAAGTTTTAGACAAAGACCTTTCTCAGCCCTGTGTGGAGATTGAACCTGGGATCTTGTACAAATATGTGTTCCACCTGTGAACTGCTTCACTTACCTGAATGAAGGGACCGGCTAAAAGTATTTGAAGGAAAGGAAAAGCTGTAGTGGCATGAAGGAACAGGTGAGGTCTGTTGGTAGCTTATTGAAAGCGGCTGTGGATACTACCAAAGGCAACATGAAATGAATGTAGAAATATTTGCTTGTTCAGCTGACAGTGTTTCTTTTAGGTTCTGGGAATTTCTCAATGTTCATTTGCTTATTTAAAACAAAGTACTTACTCTGGAACTAGGCTTCACTGGAAATGTGTGATTCAAAACTCAAAGTACATTTGTTTTACATTCATGTGTTTCACTGCTAAC